GGGCAATTCTGCTCTTAAAGAGTTCTTAAAGAGTTCCTGTTAGTTGGAATCTATTTGACTGCAATGGGTTTGATTTAGAAGATTTAGAATGCTGTAAAAGAATTTTATTTCCAGAATCCAGAGTTCTGTTTTAAAACTTTAGGTAGGCATAGATTTTCTCAAAATTTGAGACCTTGTGTCTTGAAACTTCTCAATATGAGCAAATGGGTGTTTTGTTGTTCACCTGGGATTGGAACACCAGATTTTTTAGGGTTACCTGATTCTGAAATAGTTGTACGTATTACCCACTCTCCTAACAGCCTAAAAAGTAACATGCTATTTAATTTGTTGAATCAGTCTTTTCGCTATGAGAACAGAGATCTTCCAAATACTAAACTGTTCTTTGGTTTGATTAAGAATCTCATGATAGGCAGTTGCTCATAATACCCAATCAAGTATGAGTAAGATGTCAGTGCTGTTTCAGTACATGTTAAATGCCTTGTATTTTGAGAGACAGGATAGGATAAGAAAAGGATAGAAACAGATGTTTCCCATTAAGATGACTAGGTATTGCAGTCTTCACAACAAATAAGTGCAAAGGGCATTCACTTTATGTTAAAATATCTCAAGTAGCAAATTTCATTATAACTGTGTTTGAAGGTGCTAGTTTTGATAGATTATGGATTCTGTCTGTACCTGTACCCCTTTAGGTTTTTACTGAATGGAATATGAATCTAGTCAGTTTTCTTTTTGTTCCTTCCTATTCAGAAACATGCATATTTATAAAAACCTTAATGCCTATGAGGAATGAGTCAATAGCTAGCTGTCTATTTCAGGTGCCCCTGAAGAGCTGAGTATTTATGTAATAAATACCCTACTACCACCACCCCCACCTTCTAGTTAAGTTATATAATAAAGCAAATGTCGAAAGCCAGCAAGAGTTAGTAGCTTTACTGGCAATATTTTCCCCCTTAGATGTTGTGGAAATTGGCGGTTACTTTTGGGATACAATTATCTATAATTGTTTATCTAATATTACTTTCGTATATTATTTTGGGAAGCTCCTGTTTTGATGAAAGAAAGGCCTTGTGAAGTACCTGTGTAAAGATAATCTAAGAAAAAAAGGAATTAACTTCAGAATCCTGAAAAATGATATAATCCATGTATTCAAAGAGATTTTATACCTCATTGTAGTCCTGATCAAGAACGTCTACCACCTTGAGAGCTATGTCAAAATCTTGTATTTTGACATTGATTCTGCACATTTTACACTAGCCAGAGGCCCATGGAGTACTCACAGCGTATAGTTTGTGGTGTTTCTGTTGTTTTTTTAATGAAACAAAGTTCTTAACACTGTAGATTGCAGGTAGGGACAATGACATTATTTGATTACAGTGGATTTCCAAGGTGTGCAGAGTTAAGAGTTAGAACTAGTGCTGGCCCAGAGAGGCCTTCTGAAGTTGCTTACATTTAAGGGGATTCAGACATCAGAGACAGATACAAAACTCACTTTACTTGGCAACCAGATCAGTTATGGGTCAGAAGGGATAAGCTTTAGAATATTGAATACCACAATATGTCAGTACTGCCCTACTTATAATCAGTTTGCTGAGCTATTTATTGTGCTGACCTAAGTTTAAAGAAGCCATCGATAATTTTAGCCTTGGTGAAAGCAAAGCCAGATGGGAACCAGTGCCATCAGGTACCTAAGGTTAAGGTGTAAAGAGCATTCGAGTTTTACATGGTTTTATTTGCTTTGCCAACTTCCTAAAAACATTTTAATAACAATTTCCTGATTTTTGATATAAACGTCTTTTCAGTTATGTGTCATGGAAATTCATAGGGTTAATTCCATACTCATTTTAAGTCCAGGGTTTTCTTTTGAGTGTTTATGGTACTGGAAAGTAAGGAGACTCAAAGCAAAGGCGAAATAATAGGTGACATTACCAAATCTAAACATCAGAGTGAAACATCAAATAATTCTGTTTAAGAATAGCTTAGTGACCCCTCTGCCCATGATTTGTAAGATGCTGTGGTCAATATCTTTTCCTGTGTCAATGGGAGCTCATTAAATGTAAATTTTGCAGACTAACTGAGCCATGCCATATTAGTGCTTGCCAAAGCTTGACATTTTTAATACATTAATAATATGTCTGTAATGTAATGGAAAACTATTAATCACAACTGGTTATGTGCCAGAAATTTAAGCTATAATTGGCTGCTTCTTGTCAGGAATGTCTGCCGCACAATCCTGCATGTGCCTAATATTCAAATATCTTGCCCTCTTCTGCATTTTTCCTTGTCAGTTCTCAAAATTCGATCAATGGTGCAGTCCATAATTCTGTGTAATGACCATCATTATAATTCTGGTATACTTTAATGAGAATTCCTTACACTGGGATTGTTGTTGTATCAGGAGATACTAAGAGGTTCAGACTTTTTCTTAATGTCCAGATTTTTCAAATACAAATTTATGATCACCCTTCATTTTGTGATTATATTAAAGCAAAATATGGATGAAACAGAGTGACCAAGAATAAATGGATGAGGGAGATATGATATCTATTAGTCAAAAAATACATTGTTGTTGTTAAGTGCCACGGAGTAGGTTCCAACCCATAGCGACCCTCTGTAGGGTTTCCAAGGAGCAGCTGGTGAGCTTGAACCACTGACCGTGCAGGTCAAAGGACTTTGCAGTCCAGCACATATTGTTGTTGTTGGTAAGTCGATTCCGACCCATAGTGATCTTTTTATAGGGCTCCAGTGCATAGATATCCTTAAATCAATATTTTAAAAAGTAATAAAAAAAATTAGCAAATTTTGCTTACTCAGTTCATACTCAAAGCAGTCCATTCCAGGTCTTCAATATTGCATTGCTTTAGGAAAATAAGTAGCTGTGTTCTTGAAACTAAGATATTAATTTTAGTCTAGGTTTTACCACTGCCCGCCTCCCCCTTGGGAAAGTGTTTGTTGTTTGCTATAATAAAATAGTAAACACATTTGGAAAATGTATATAGCAAGTGTAAATTTTATTTACACCTTTTCAGATTAGTAAGTGTCAGATTGTTGGATGTTCCTGAAAGAATCAAGTTAAAATTATTAATGAAACTGAAAACAAACAAAACCAAAAAAACTCCTAAAAAAACAAACAAACAAACCCCAGAAGGTTATAAGAGCCACAACACATACTTCTCTGTATTTTTGTTTGTTTGTTTTACTTTAAGATTTCAAAAATGTATCCAAGACAGTACAGTCTTTACATTACAAAAAAGAAGCAGATTCAGATCTGAAGTTTATATATGATTAGACAAATTGCTAATTATTGCTTCATGGGAATTCAAATATTCAACACTTTTCCTAATAGAAAATATCACAAATTGCAGCTGTATGATAACATTTTATGAATTGAATATAATGAAAATTGCACTTGCATCCATAAAGCAATTATTATAAATTACTTTGCTATGGAAACACAATTCAACCATCTGTTGGCATTTCATAGTCTGTGGCTTAGTTCATTTTAAGATGGTGTGTTATTTAAATATAGTGAATTCCTTTTATAAGATTGTTTGAAGATCCTGAACTTCCAAATTTAAATTGGATGATAAGAATTGAAGGGTCTTTAATGGAATTTTCCCAAACTGTAAGTTATCTTGCCTTTTTAAATTGTTTAAGAAATAGTTAATTTGTGTAATATGAATATGAACCAACTAATCATGCAAATATACCTGGATTTTTTTTATGCCTGGATTCCAAACATTAGTATTTGGTTAGACTTGGATAGTCGTCTCAAAGGAAAAAGTTGCCAGTTTAAACTGACCAATCACATCCACCAATAGTTATGCAGACTTCATTGTAAGTTATCAAAGTACTTAAATAGTAATTTTCATTTTCTCTTAGAATTAGTGCCATATTATTTTGCTTCATGGCCTGTTAACTCACCCTCAGCTATTTTTATATGTGCATTTTAAATGGTGCGTTTTACTACAGAGCTTTTATTTTTAAAGCAGCGTATAATATTCGCCTTTGGGACAAATTCTCCTCTGTTACAGAACATAACTGCAAATGCAGATGTATTGACTATAAAAAGATGTAAGAAAATAGAAAATTCTTATGAAAGGAAAATTGGTTCCTTTGGTTTTATTTTTGAATTTTTTTTTTTTTTTGCAAGAGCCAAGTTATCTTTATCACTAAATACAACTAAACAAAAAGAGGCTAAATTCTTCCAATATAATGAGCAAACCCAAAGGACTCATGCCAACAATGCTGGGTTTCACTCTAGCTAACAAAAGCTAAGAAATACTCAAGGAATTTGGAGAATTTAGGGTCTCTGCCAAGAGACAAAAGGCATACAAGTAGTTGTCATTTCTTTGTCATTGTAATAAAAGCACTCATTTCCCACATTGTTCTCCTGGAAGATTTTCTAGCACTGCAATGCATGAGAAATGTTTAAATCCAGCCACTTGTAATCAGTTTTGTCAAGTTGGAAATAATAATTTTTGAAGCGAAAACCTGTAACTCACCTGCAACACACACATCTGTCTTTGTTATGGAAGAGTTAAATCCTTCATATTGGAATTCTCTCCAATGTGAGTGATTTCTGTAGTTTGCTGCATTCTAGCAAAGCAGCTGAGTAAAGGTTATCCATATTACACTAATTTGCTTTATATTACATCAAACCTCCAAAATGTCAGCATATCATACATTTTGTAATGCATTGATTCTGGGACAATAACTCTTACTCTTATTGTTTCTAAAAGGGTGTTGGTGCCAGAAGAAAAGAATGATTGATGGGAAACAGACACCGGGGCTATAGACACTCATCCTTTTGCTTCAGATACTAATATCTCAACGCGTCAGAGCTTCCCTTCGGAACTGTGAACATCGAGGATCACTCAGGGTTATTGGATGTACAACGGAAGACCCATCGCTTTGCTAAATTGTTGCCTGTTACTGGACATCTTTTACAAAAACCAAACTAGACCCTTAATTAATAGATATGTTCTAGGACAAAGAAAAAGCTGCAAGTTGTCATTAACGCCTACCACACAAGTATGTTAGGGTTCCACCAAAGTCCTCGATATTCCCGAACACGTGCAATACCTTAACCCTTCACATTTGGTTTTGGAGTCTGGTTTGAAGTCTAGCCTTCTTTTTTTTTTCTTTGAATATACAGAACTACCTACATACAGACATATATGTATATGTATATATAAACTGGACTCAGATCACAGATAAGCAAACACTGCTTTATTTACCAAGAAGATTGCAAAGAATTTAGAGATGTATTTGTCAAGATTCCTGTCAATTCATGCCCTTTGGGTTACAGTATCCTCGGTGATGCAGCCCTTCCCCTTGGTGTGGGGACATTATGATGTGTGTAAGACTCAAATTTACACAGATGAAGGGAAAGTTTGGGATTACATGGCATGTCAGCCGGAATCCATGGACATGACCAAATATCTGAAAGTGAAACTGGATCCTCCGGATATTACCTGTGGAGACCCTCCTGAGACGTTCTGTGCAATGGTGAGGCGACCCTTTTGAATAGAACATTTCATAATAAATGGGTCCAAGAGTCTACACATACAGGTGTGGTGAGTGTGAAGACTCAATTCATGCAATGAGCAGACTCTTCAGGTAGCAGATTTTTGGTTCCAGGCTAGCTTCATTCTCAGAGCGGGCTGCACTACCTGAAATTATAATTGGCACAGTGTGGTTGATGCATTGGAATTTACCTTCTGTTTCTCTGCCAGCCAAAGGTTTACTACAGCAGGTGCAATGTAATCCAATTGAAGGTTACATTTCAGATTGAAGATTGAGAATAGGATTAGGTCCTATGTGTTGTGTTAAAGATAAAATCTGTTGAGAAACCAATTTAGGAAACACAAACCTTTCTTCATACAAAGTGTAAGGCTAGAAGAGAGCTCATAGTTTCCTTCATCAAGAAACTGTTGTGTTTAGGAGATCGGTGAAAAGAGAAGCAGAGAGAGAGACTGAAGTCTTATGAGAGGCCTTTCTAGAAAAATATTACTTGCCAATTCATGATGTTTCTTAATTTCAGTGGTCATAGTTTTATATGGGTGTTTGAGAGATGGATGTTGAAATATTGAAACATATTTGCTAAAGACTAATGATTGGGGCCATACACGTTCAGATACTATTCTTTTAACTAAACAAAGTTACAGAATTCATTGTTCTCCTAGTATATATGTAAGTAAAAAGGCAACATTGAAGTGGCACATTGAATTTTCACTAAAGGACACAACTGAAAATATACCTGCTAAATGTTAATGAGACTGGTGATCAAAATGATGTTAAATGTCCTAGAGACTTCAGGCAGTGTGTTCATTTTGTTTGTGGTGTTATCTTTTATTAGAGGTGGTCTTTATTTGATTCAAGAACTGTCATCCCATTTTTTCCCCACATACAGATATAATTGTATGGCAGATTTTAATAGTATTCTTACCTGACTTTATTATCTTGAACCTGGCCTGGCATTTTTGGGATTGTGAAACTATTAATCAAAGTAGCATCTGTTCACAGTCCCCAGTGGGCTAAATTAGCATAAGATCATCTTAGACCTAGTCTTATAGGAAAGATTTTGTAACAGGAAACAATTTTGAGCAATAAAGAGTGTTTTCACCTAAAAGCTAAGGACCTGCCATTTTTTAGAAGTGCCTTTGGGGACTGGTTTGAATTATTGTCTAAACCTGGTTTTGTGGAGAGTGAAAAAAAGAGTCTGGCTATTAGGTATCACTGTGACTAAAGTGCCCTGAAAGACTAAATATTTCAAAGAGAGGACCCATGTCTCTCTGGGAAACAGGAATGAGCTTTGCAAATAAGTTACATTTTGGAAAAGGAGCTTATCCAAACACTTGCATACCACTGCTGTGGAGTGAATTCGTATCATAGTTACATTGAACACATTAGCAACACTATAATAAATCTGCAGAAGAGCAGATGTTGCCTTTCTAAAAAGGCCTTTAATAATTTCCTCTAAAAGGTCAACTTTAAGATCTCATTGTGTATCTGGGGTGAAATTGCCATTCAGGAGATAGGTTGTGCAATTTCCCACTCCTTAGAGCAGCAGAGGAGTTCTGAGCCAACTCCTCCTGTACAAAGAACACTCTAGCCCTATATGTTAGTCTGTGTGACACTTAGAACAATATGTCTGTAATAGAATTGTTTAATTCACTGTTCTAAGTAAAATAGCAAATATCCTTTGTCAGGATTCTACTTCCACTGGCATCAGCCCTGTGTGCTGTGCTGTCTGTGGGATTTCTATGTGTAGCTTCCCTGTTTTCAGCCTCTGGCATGGGAATGCTCGCTCAGCACTGCTCCTGTCTGTCAGGTTGAAAGGTTTACCTGGTGTCTTCAGCATGCCTCACTCTCTCACTGAGGAGAAAGAAGGTCATACTACAGAACCTCCTCAGTGATACGGGCTAAGGTCCTTAAACAACTTGCCTCTTACCACTCTACTGGCTGTTAGAGACCAAAAAGAGAACAAAGAATTTAAACGATGATACCCTTGGCTTTCTCATGTGCAGTAGCATGTATACTTGATATATTTACATGAAACCCCACAGGATTGCCTTTTCAAAGGTTGTATCTTAGTCTGATGCAAATATTCAGAAGCTTTGGTGGCTTTAAACTTGTCATTGAGCAGGATAATTTTCCCAGGGAGAGTGTAAGTCTTGTGAGACACTCCCAAATAATACTTAATTTATACTCCTTAATATGCATTTTATTGGCATAACTGTCCTTCAAATGCACAATTTGGAACTATTTGTAGACGTATTATATGCTAAATCAGTCCTAATGACCTCATATAACACCTTCTCTGCAGTTGTGGGTTTTCCATAAAACTCTACAGTATAACGGTTTCTGACACAAGGCTGTAAAGCTGTCTCCAGATGCTGTCACATCAGACTTGTTTAGGTGCTTCTTAGCCCAAGGTCTAATGGGAATCCAGAAAGTCATTTGTATTGTGACTTACACTCGCATCCATGTCTGCTCCCTGAGAGTCGTTATGGCCTATTACATCAGGGTAGCTGCCACATAGCCACCAACACTACTTAGCCCCTGTATGTAAATGTGTGCTGTAAGATGGCTTCAGTAATCATCTGCTCAGCTAGTGACACCCTTATTAGCTGTGACTATAGCAATTCTTTGGTCAGAGAACTACCCTGTCAGTCCCATAGCTGGTTTATTTAATAAACAGTTGAAGGACATTTTGGCAATGCATTCAGAGTCTGTTTTGCTACTTTTTGCATTTGCTCCATTCCTCTATGCCAGTGACTACCCATGAATACTGCTTTTGCTTTAATATAGAATGCAGTTTTAGAGAAAAGGAGCATATAAATGTAGCCATAGATTCCATTTAATAATAATAGAGCTTTGCTTGTTAACCTGGATGATCTATTTCATAAATCTTTAATGTCAAGCAATTTAAAATTATCCCTTATTAATTGTACCAGCACTTATCAACATTAGGTTTTGGGGAGCATTCTGCCATTTCTGTTTATGACAATAGAACAGGGAAATACACACATACTCTTACCTATATGCATGTAACATATGCATGCATTATATATAAATCCTGTATAGTAAGAACTATACTTTATTTTATTATTTAATATATTTATTTCAGTTATTCCACAGCTAAAAAGGATCTCTGCTTTGTTAAGGGGGAGGAATTTGAAGGGTAGAGGAGGCATAACATTTTGTTTTTAAATGCTGTGATAGCATGTTATTGTATTTCCCATCCTTCTTTCATCCATGTTAAAACCTCCAGGTAGCACAGCTTTGTCAGAGAACATAGATCATCTAGTGCCTACCATTTGTTTTGATTTGCATAAAGCTCAGATAGGATGATCTGAACCTATGCAGAGAGCAGAAGTGACAACACAAAGCTATGACTTGTTCTTTGTGTTTAGACAAAGTTAGCTGTCATATCTCCACACAACACCCTAGTGGCTTAAAAATGGCAAAATTATCTGCAATTATCTCCAGCCTGCAGCTAATTTTCTGGGTACGTTAAACAGAAGCTTTGAAAAGAAGCCTACAGACGGAAGAAGTCATGTGCGTTTGTACAATTTATGGAACAGAAGTGCTGATGACGGTAGAAATGTGAGCCCTTGAGTGCTGCTATGGATTTCAGAGCCAATCAAAACTAAATTAGGAAACAAAGATTATTAAAAAGTCTTCTGTGCATGTAATTTTGGCATAATATTATGAGGTGGACATTAAATGTTTCCCTCGGAGACTTTCGGCATCATTAATGCAGCATGCCTTTAATTACAAGTAGACTTAGATTACTGAAAAAAAAATGGAGAAAATAAAGGACTCTGTAGTGTAGTTAGCAGTACCCTCATTATGTTTACTGAAATAATTAAAAGAAAGGGTATCATTTTTCTAAATAAAATGTCACAATCTGAAATGAAAATAGATTTTCTTTAGGAAATTTACTAATGTGTGCCTGTACTCTTGATAAGCATTCATTCAAGTACTGTAATAGGTCTATTAATGATCATACCATATTGTGTTATTTCTAGATAGACTCCTATTAAGGGAAAAAACATACTTTAATTATTGTAAGCATTGTGGGTAGAGCGTATTTCACTTGGTCCAAATGGAATTTACGGAAGTAGTAGAAGGCATTCATGTTTTATGACTTTGAAGGAACCCAGGAGGCTGGTGGGTGTTGATGCATTCTCAGGGCTATCAATAACTTAAATTTCTGATTTGACATCAGCTCAGGTTGCCATCTGGTGGCTATCAGGTGGCCTTTGAGAAATTAATTTTGATAATAAACTCAGTTACATTTTCAATGACAAGGAATTAATATCTGTTTTCCAAAAACTGGAAATGACATTGACTTATATAAGAATTAAATATTCTTAAATACACACTTTGTTCACAGGAAATATAATTCAATAAGTGAAGTTTTAATAACAGTGACATCTTTAATTATGCCAGAATGGAATTAAGAAAAAAAAAAAAAAGAAACAAACAAAACCTTCAGTTCTTTTATTATTAACACTTCATTGTTATTGGTTCATTATTTAGACTTATTTCTTAGAAAAATTTAATTCTGTTGGTAATGAATTAAGTTCCAAGAAGATCTATCTTTCTGACATATGACTATATCATGTATTTCCTACATCATTCCTTATTATCTGTTGCATCAAGTGTAACGTCCTCTACCTATATTTTAGATCTAGGTTTTTACAGCCTTATGTGTACAACTTCCCATAAGGATACTGTGGCACCTCCATAAGTCTTACGGCTGACAATTGGATGGTCAGGGGGCTGCTGGATTTGGGTTGAAGTTGAACTGGCATAACGTGTGCTTTATGGGGAAAGACTTGGGAGGTAGCTGGTGAAGATTATGGTAGTGGCATGCTACCGAGTCGGTTTAAATTCAAAGCAACCCTGTATAGAGATTCCAAGACAGTAAATCCTTGTATTTCTAAGATGGTGCGACTGGTGGAGCTGAACTACTTACCTTGCAGTTAGCAGCCCAG